AAGGTTACCACGATTTAGGGTGTGCTTACCACATTTTTGGATAAAATTATCACTTTTTTTGAGTGTGGTTACCACTTTCTCGAGTTTGGTTTGGCACATTTTAGGATTTCATTAGCACATTTTGGGGTGAGCTTACCACTCTATGGGATGAGATTATCACTTTTGGGGTGTGGTTAGTACGTTTTGGAGGTAAGATTACCATTTTTTTTGGGTTTGGTTAGCATGTTTTGGGGGTAAAATTATAACTTTTTGAGGATGAGGTTTTCACGTTTTGAGGTAACATTACCACCTTTTCGGGTTTGACTATTACATTTTGAGGTGAAATTACTATTTTTTTGAATGTGGTTAGCACATTTTCAAATGAAGTCACGAGTTTTTGCAGAGTCGTTACCACTTATTAGGTGCAATTGCGATGTTTTGATGATGCAATTTTTTAGGACATGATTTAGCAAGATTTAGAATCAACTATGGCGACAAAGGCAAACTATGATCGATCCATTATAAATTAAGATATAAGCCATCGATAATAGGAACTTACCCCATTTAATTATTGGGATCCAACAACCAATAGTATATCAATACACATATAGATCTAATCCCAAAACATTCTCTCCTAATTTATGATCGATCATCACAAAATATGTAATTTCTTTCGATTAACATTCAATTCATAAAATTGATATCAAATTAACATTCAACTAATAAAATTAATATTCAACTTCATTCAATTAGCAATCAATTCAATTTAGCGGCGTTACTAACATAGAAATCTGCACAACTCCAAGACAAATAACTTTTTCGAATTAAAGATTTTTCCAATAAAGAGGTAATTTCTTTCTTATAAAATTTTAAGTAATTTTTATTCATTTGTGTTGGCCTAACCTTAGTCGGAATATCTTTTTTTATTAAATTCTTTGATATAGGGTAGGGTTACCACATTTTTTTTCCTATTCCAAAAAGCAGTAGGAACTGTATCATATACTTCCCTAATTATCTTATTTTTAATTTCTTTTATTTTTTGCTAAGTTTCAGGAGAATTAAGCTTATTAGATACACTCAAGATTTTTATATCTTCTTTTAAAAAGTTTAATTGATTTTCTTTATAAATCAAATTTTCTTTTATTTGATGTGGAGTTATAAACTCAAATAATATTTGTTAACCATTTATGGTAGTCAAAATTTCTTTAGAATCATTCTTTTTATAGGTTCGATTAAATATAAGAATGGTGTTACCAAAATCACTAATTGATTTAAATTATCAATAAGCATAAAAGTTGTAGGAATACAAATTTCTTGATTACATACAAAAACACTAGAGTTTAAAATTTATATTTAATTTTGAACCATCAGCAGTGTTTACTGACTGAGTAGTTTTCTCAAAATATTTAGTTGGAATTAATCTGCTTTTATGCAATTTATATCTACCCCATTGTCAATTAAAGTAATAGTTTCAACAGTAAATTCATAATTTATGACTAATATGATTTTAACATACCATTTTTGATAAGTTATTTTTTTCTAATACTTTTAAGTATTCATTATTAGAAGAGTGTGATGGTGATGCTTTTATGTCATCTTTAATGCCACTTTTTTTAAGTGACAATTTTTCTAAAGCTAAGAGTCTAACCTTTATGACTTTTATATCTTTTTTAACATTGTGTCATATCACTTTCTGTTCTATTAAAGATTTTTTTTAAGGAATACAATTGAGACAAATTAGGTCTCTTTTTTTTTGGATTTATCTCTAAATATTATTCAATAACTTTTCTTTTAGAATCTGGATCTTGAATTTTATCTATAAGTTCAAGAATAAATGCTTGTGACTAGTCAAAATATTTATATTCAATTTTTTCATAGCTAGAATAGTTTTTTTATAATAGCATGTAGATGTAACATGTCCAATTTTTTCACACTTAAAGCATTTGATAGACATTTTGTCATTTTCTTTAAATAAGTTAGTGGGTTTGGTAAGCTCTCTCTCTTTATTGACTTCGTCTTTATCATTCTTCCTTTTATATAAAAGCTAGTTTGAATCTTATGTCAGAGATGCAATAGTTAAAGTGTTATCTTGTAATTTGTCATCAATTAATTTATTAATTTGTTGAGTTTCAGGTTTATATGTTTGAGAAATATTATTTAATATTTTCTTGAGTTTATTTATAAACTCAGCATCTTCAATGTTTGGATAATTAAAATTTATTTTTTCAGAAATACAAAACTCTTTTATTTCATTTAACTGATTTGTATTAGGAGGAACATAATATGTTAGAAACCAATTAAAAAAGAAATTATCTTTTTTTTCCTTTTTATATAAAGGTAAAATATTTTTTTTTATAATTTTGAAGTTCTTCCGAACTCATTGTTTTAAAATACTAATTTCTAAATTCTTCATATTTAGGAAGATGAAATTCTTTATTACAAGTTTTGTTTATCAACTGTAATTCTCTTGAGTGTAAATCCATAGAAATTATAGTTGAAATTCGATTTCGGATGAAGTTAGATTAAAGTTTTCCTGTAAGAAAGATTCATTATCTGGTCTATATATATTATGAGAAATATTATTTTTTAAAAGTTTAATTCCTTCAATTATAAGTTCTTTATCTCTTCTTCGATTTTGGACAAAAGAAGTAGAGATCTTCTAAAACAGGTATAATAACCTGATGAAATTTCTGATTTATCAGAATATTTTAAATAATTTTTAGAATTAGTTCTAGCAAATTTTATCGTAATATCATCATGAGATGATTGGACGATCTGAGTTATTTCTTCATTTATCTCTAGTTTTTTAGGAACCACAGACTCTAATTGTCAGATTTCTGGAAATTGAATTTCTGGCTATTTAATAGTTTTAGGGACTTAAATTTATTTTTAATTATATTTTTTTCAATTAAAATTGTTTGACTTTTAAAATTAAGAAATTTAGCTTTAGGACATAAAGTATTCATGTGCTTCAACAACTAGAAGACATGATAAGTTTCCAAATAACTTCATTGTGATCTCTATCTTCCATTTTTGTCGATGTATGACTTTCTTTTTGTCTTGTATGTTTTATTTTTATCACACACTCTTAAAGGAAGGGAACGATTTTCTTTTTTTTTTTTTGGAAGGGAATGATAAAGTTTGATCCCACAACTTTAAGGTCTAACAATGGAATGACGACTATTAGGCCAATCACTAAACCATATTTATGTTCTATGTTAAGTGGATTTAATTTATATTTCACCTAGTGTGGAATATAACCATGAATAGTTCTATGTTCTATTCTTTTTAACTGCAACAGTGAACTTCTAAGTCATCTATACCCATTACGATGTTGGACAAAGTGAGATTGTATGATTGCCATGGGAGCTGCTATGTGTTAGGACGGTACTCTAGAGTCATAAGAACAACATGCCCACATACGAGAAATAATGTTCGTGCGTATCAACAAAACTACAAATATCTAACTGTCTTATAAACCTCGACAATAATCAAGGTAAATAATATGGCGAGCTAATAAGTTTTGCAAAGATATTGTGGCAGAAGTTAGGTACGATCCAAGAAGTGATATATGGAAAAACACACAGCCGGTGAAATAAACAAGCTAAAGAAACAGCCGACCCCTTAAACTAAAGGGAGGGAGGAAGATAGTGAGAGACACCAACACCATTGATGGTTTGGAAGGTGGAAAGGGATGTGGGAGAAACCGAGACAAAGAGATGGTCGCAGAAGGGTAAGACCACGAACCAAAAAAAAAAAAAAATCAATATCGTACCGTTAGATTTTATGATTTTTGTAGGTTGAGATGAAGTTTTTGAGTTTGTATATGTCAAAAATAATTTACAATCTTTTGGGTAATGTTACAATTTTTAGGATTCAAATCACTATTTTTAGGGGTTAAGTTAGAACTTTTAAGGGTACTTTGAGGTTGATTTAAAAAAATTATAAATAATCTTCAAAATTTGTAAAAGAAATTCGCAAAACTCAAACATAACGATACAATATCGATTTTTTTTTCCTCTTAGGGTAGTGTTCTCCGTCATCATAAATATGGTGGAAAAAAACCACAATTTTTTGTCGAGCGTTCGGCATCAAGGTAGACAAGATCAACAATTAGAATCAATTCAATAAAATATCATATGACATTGTCCCGTGGCATGCACATTCAATCAAAAATTACCACAAAATTAATTTACGGGATATACAAGTTTTTTTCAAAAATAAATCTGACAAAGTGATATGTATCCCTTATTTAGTAGGATTGTACAGTCTTTATTGGTGATGTATATCAAATCCCTCCAAATTAAATTAAATTTATAGTATTCACAATAGGCCACTTTCGGTGGTCTATATGTGACCTTTTTTCAGCAGCAGTCAAATCCGGTGGGCTAATGTGTGACAATGATATAATAATCATGGAAAACTCTTCGGTGCCAAAAAAAAAAAAAATTGGTATCAATTAGTATTTTATATGATGAAATTACAACTTTAAATAGAAAAATTTTAATTGTTCAAAAGATGTCATGATTGATCTCGGACATTCATGATTGATCATAAAAAATATAGTATCGATCACAATATTTTATGATCGATCATATCCTCTGAACTTTTAACTTATATTTCAAAAAAATTATAATTTTTGATACCGATACCACCCACGGTACAACTTACCATGAATCATACAAGTTATTCAAATATGATAGGGTTAGTAATTAACCAGGCCCCTACAACAAAAAGAGGGAACACACCTTTAAAAGGTTCAGATAAATCCTGTGTGTCCTCAAGGTTATATTATTGATCAACTTTGATGGTACATACATAGCTGCTTCTATTTCCTTTTTCATGGAGTTTCTCTCTCTTCCTAACCCCCACCACTATTTATGAACATATCAGCTTGGCCTCATTTTGAAGAGCTTTCTCATATATAGCCTCTCTTCTTGTTCTCTGTAGCAAAGGCACATATATATATACAATAAGCCTATGCCCTTAATTTCTGTTAAGAGTTATTGCCTTCCATAAACATGAAGACCATAGACCTCTTTTGTGCCTCTCCAGCATCCACAGCCATATGCTCGAGCATGGATCATCGTAGCATTATCCGCCATGGCACGAGACCAATCGATCATGGTCATCATCATCATAAGCAGCAGCAGCAGCAGCATCATCATCATCATCTGCGTGATCGAAAAAACCGAGCTCTTGTGCCTTGTTCATCTCAACCACCCTTTGATCCTAAGCCCAATTATTATCAAACAAGTAGAAATAGTACTTCTTCCAAGCAAAGTGAAGTAAGAAGAAAAAGTTCAGCAGACATACTTGACCTTTCTAGCCAACCTCCTGGTTCCTCCTCTAGGCACCTTTTAAGTGACACACCTTTTATAGGTTCTGATCATTTCTCTGCGTTGGTTCATAAAAGCCAATCTGTGAGACCTCAGCTCTTGCTCTCAACAAATGATTCTCCTGCTAATTCTAAATCTTCAAAAACTGGCTCTAATTACTCTCCTGCTTTGAAATCTTCATCAACTAGCTCATATGATTCTCCTTTAATGGAATCTTCTTCAACTCACAGTCGCCCATGCAATCAGGTTCCTCTCTCTCTCTCTCTCTCTCTCTCTCTCTCTCTTCCTTTCTTTTTCCAATGATTTCATAATAATGTCATTCATAGCAAAACTGGTTTTACAATTAGTTTCTTGCATGCAGCAACTTAAAAATGTGACCCAATGACGTGTCAACCGATAGAGTTCTAATGAAAAAGTTTAATTGTTATAATTACAATAATATTGTTTTAGACCATGTCATTATCATATCATTATGTTAGTAAATTAAATTACTTTTCTAAATCCCAGTAGTATTACTCTTATTCTTAATGAATGTGATTATGCTCTTAATATCATGTGTTCTATTGGGCTTTGGAGGTTGTGGAATTGAGGGTATCTATCCATTGCAAGGGTTGTGAAGGAAAAGTGAGAAAACATATCTCCAGAATGGAAGGCAAGTACTTTAGTTCTGTGTACCATTTTTATTTGGGTTATGATAAAGCTTTTTCTTTTCAAGTAATTTAAGCTACTTTTTTTTATAATCAAAAGCATAAATATTTAGGTGGATTGCCATTTTTTTTTTCAATGGGAATCGTTTAAACCATGCATTTTTTTTTTTTTTGCATAATTCATGATACAAAATCATTCATTAACAAATACATCAGTTATACCTATGTTTTATGTTGCTAATAAGCTTCAAACTCAAAAAATTATAGTTTTACGTCTCATCTCTCGTTCAACAACTGAACTATCAAATGAAACGGACACATTTGGATGTATATGTTTGTGCAGGAGTGATCTCCTTTAGTATAGACTTGGCCACAAAGAAGGTCACAGTGGTTGGGGATGTGACCCCTTTAGGGGTACTCACAAGCGTCTCAAGGGTGAAGAATGCAGAATTTTGGCCATCTCCGACTTCATCATCATGGTCTCCAATGGCTGGCCTGAGACACTAATGGCTTTCAAGAACTTTTTTTTTGAGTTTCTTTTAGCGATGTACTGAATTATTTTGAAATTCCAGTAGGGTGAAGTTTAATGGCTAGTCTTGTATGATGTGTACTGTAAATGTAGAAATACTAATACTCCGTTTGGTACGATGAAAAAAATAGAAGGATGAAAAGTTAAAAGGATGAAAAGTTGAACAAATAAATAAAACATCATGTTTGATAAGAAAAGAAAAAGTAAGATGGATGGAAAAGTAGATGAATTAATTTTTCTTCAAACTCACTAAAATTAATTTCTCCAAAATCAGAAGGAAAGTAGATGGAAAGTTAATTATTTGTGTTGAGATGTATCTTATTTATCTATATATATTATGTATACATTAATTTCATATAAAAATATAATGATAAAATATATATATATATATATATATATATATATATATATATATATATATATATATATATATATATAAATAAAAAATAAAAAATAAAAAATTTAAATTAAAAAAATATAATTTTTCATCTTAACTAGAGGTGAAAATTTTCGACTCAACATGGTGATATGACTCAAACTCGAAATAAATTTTATGACACAAACTTGAAAATGACCTGACAAGCGAATAAAAAATATAAAAGATTCATAATTTTATGACTCAACATGAATCTGACACGACATAACTCGATTGTCAACTATAACTTTAGTCATCACAAAAAAAATTAAAAAAAAATTAGTTATTTTTATTTTTCATTCATCTAACCAAACACAAAAAAGAAAAATGTATCATTTCTACTTTTTATGTTTAAATGAAAAAAAATATATCTCTTCTACTTTTTATCATCTTTTCTATTAAACAGATCATAAGAGATACTATGATAGTCATCTTTCCATATATTATTCAAAAGAATGTAAAGTAAAAGAGATGGTTTGGTTCCCATGTGCTCTTTGGTCATCATTTCTTGGAGCATGCAATGTTGACTTTTGCTTGTTTCCCTTTTAAATTTAACAACTTAGCTTTTGCTATCAAGTATTGATTGAGTCAATTCTTTCGGGTTTTGATGTATTTAGGCTTTACTCGAGTTGGCTCGAACTTGGTTGCCAAATTTGCACTTTTGTTGATCAAGTTTAACTTGTTATTGATTATATACTCATAATATACGATTGTGTTCATCTTGTTTAGTTCTATATATTCAAATTGAATTCAAGTTCGACTTAATCCAAATACTACACATGACCATTAGAGATTGATCATCTGAAGTGAGACGAAACTTTAAAAGGTGAAACTCAACCAAACACAACTGTTCGTTGAGATTCATATAAATAAGATTCAATGGTATCACCTCTTTCAGAGTTGGTCCTTTCAAATGTTAACTTTTGTAAATTTGCAATTCCTTGATTTTCTTATTTCAAAGGTTTAATCAGATGGTTATAATTTTTTTCTCTAATTTCTTACTATATGCAAGATGATACAAGACATCCTGACACAATTGCGGAATCAACTAATCCAATGCACGTAACATCATGATGACCCCGAAGCATTGAGTACCATACATATCTCATGCATTATTGAGTAGTGGACAGGTCATGTTTAAGCAATAATATGACAGCATGCATGTACATCATGATGATATGTGGAGACATATGGGTCTGCATGCGGCTGGCAATGGTCCTCACTCAAGGACATGTTCAGCTTATGGGTTGGGATTGCGATAGAGGCATGACATACTTTTTCCCCTCTGCTTTTTTTTTTTTTTTTTAAAGTTAAAAGTGAAAGTCATCTCAATTATTTATTCTTTGAATTCGTGTTTAGAATGTAAATTCGAGATATATGTTAAATAGCCCTAAATAATGAAAAATATTGAGTCAACCATAATGTCTCTCGGGACCACAATTAACATTTCTCTCTTTGTTTGGTTATGGGGTGTGTGATTATTTGCTTGTTTTTGTTTTTTTTTTGTCATCATTTTATAAATATTTTTTTGTTTGGAAAGGACATACATAGGACTCGTTTAGAATTGACTTTTTTATGTGAAAAGTTACGATAAAAATCTTTGCAAAAAAAAAAATCAAAGTTAAAAAAGTTTAAAAAAATTGTTTGCGGTGTTTTTTAAAAAATTGAAAAAGTTAAAAAAGTCGGTTTGTAGTGGCTTTCTAATTTTTTTTTGGTTTTTTGTGTCAAAATAAAAAATAATAACTACATGTATGTACAGATTATACATAATACTTTCTAAAAGATAAATTTTAATTTTTTTTGTCACTAATAAACTAAAAAGTTATGTGAGACCTACGGAAAAAACTCCAAAAAGTTGGAAGAAAAATTCATAAAATCAATCTTTTGAATCAGTCTAAATAAGATTTTTTTTTGTCCAAAAAATTGTTGCATAAGTTGGTAAAAACCAACATCCAAATGAATAGAGTTTATTTTACTCCAAAACTCTTAAAAGCTATCTATTTAAGCTAACTCCAAATAGACTCATAATCTAGCGAAAAATACCATGGTGTACATACATAAGAGGCAATCACACTAAAAAATAGCACCCGAATATATCAAAGCATCCTTAAATCAATTGGGTCCAAGACACATCCATTGATAGAATTACCATTGTATGGGTGATTTCTCGCACAATAGTAAGATAGCAACACTTTAGTTGATGCTCAATGGTAGCCTTGTGGTGTGAGTGTGACGAAAGACCATAGAATTACAGAAAATGGAGGTCGGAAATGTCTTCGATGATTTTTCTCTGATGCTTAAGTCATTTTTGAGGAGGGAATAAGACAATGTTTAGTATTAGGGTAGAGGATATGTTTTGCACACCTCTTTCATTCGACTAAGAGTGCTATTTATACCTCTTTGAGAGATGAGTGTCTCTATTGAGGAAACTTCATATGATTCCCTTAGCGGGAGGCTTTCTGATTGGTTAATTCCTGGGACAGCAAGGATGTCTGGTTAACTTTGTCAGGTGGCTATTCATCGAGTATGATTTTCTTATAACCTTGATCCCTGACTCTTTTATGCACGTTCACAAGATACGTATTAATGACATTAATCTTTCGACATCTAAGTCTTTGACGATCGTTAATTGCAAGATTTGATATTGAAGAACTTATCTTGCAGTAATAAATGTCTAGCGCTATTTGGCATGCCGAAGGATAGAGTAATGCTACATGAACTTAAAAATTAGACTTGATAATTACAATGAGTAATGCTAGATGGACTTAAAAACTAGACTTAAAAATTAGACTTGATAATCTCAACCATTGAATAGGTAGTGGGTCCTAATAAATACTGGAACCCACAGTTAAATCAATGATTGAGATTATCAAGTCTAATTTTTAAGTCTACCTTTTAAGTCCATATAGCATTACTCAATTACAATTATTGATTTTACTGTGGGTTCTAGTATTTATTAAGATTGACTATCTATTTAATGATTGAGATCATCAAGTATAATTTTTAAATTTATTTTTTAAATTCATTTAACATTATCGGAAGGACAAATGCTTCGAACCCATTCTCCTGTAGGCATTAATTATCCGCTGTGTGCCCATAAGAAGCATTTATTACATGTTATAAACTTTCCCATGATCGGCTATAGTGTGTCCGCATGTCTGATCTGATAGCAGGGATAATGGACTTATGCTTGCTGACAATCGGTACCGGACCTCAATAAAAATTTTAAATAATATATTATCATATTATTTAGACATTAAATTTGATTTTAAAATTTAATCAACATAATATTACTGTTATCGTTATTACTTTTCCACCAAATAACGTTACATGTCCATTTCTGACTGATCTGACACATCATGTGCGGTCAACCATAAAAATGGAGACTTTTTCAGTAGAGGGGAGGTGAACTGATCAACTTGCTATCCATTCATGTTCAAAACCGTTCAATTCTCTAACGACTATGATATTGTTCCTATTCAATTCTATTCTTGTCTTACAAAACATGTAAACTAACTCTCTTTTTTCGGCTACGTTTATTTCATACAAATGTTTCACATTTACCCAACATTCTATTATGCAAGAAAATAACTTAAATGATTAATAGCTATGTTTATAAAACATGCATCTACAGTAAGATCACCTTCTTACCAAGTTCACTATTCTTATAAACCTCAAGCAACATTCCCCCTTATATAACCACCATTCTAATGTCATATCGGGAAACAACTTTGACCATGTTTTTACCTTTCGATACATTCCTTCACTCTACAACTTCCAGACATAGGCCAAACTGATCGATCATAAAATCATAAATTTCACCTCCTCACCAGAAGCCTGAAAAACATGATTATAATGACAGAAACAGTTACATGCACAAATAGGAAGAGCATCGAGGAACAAAGGTGTACAGCGTCTCGTATACAAAAATACTGCTGCCCGTTGGTTTAAGAAAATGACTGGTGTAGAAAAGAAAAAAGAGGGAAATTTAAAGCCATGCATCAAAATTATCAGTCCATACGCTGCAACATCAGAACTATGTCAAAAGGGAAAAATACCATGTAGGGGTGTCGAATAATGGACATATTGCAGATGTTGCTCCCGTGGTCACGGGAGAGCTGAAGTCGTACGTGTGTGGGATGCTCTTCCAGCTCTCTCCAAGTGCTGGCTTGAGAATACCGCGCTCTCCAGCCACCATATGATTAGTCACCTTAAGTACATCATTCACAGTTAGATATTAATTAAGCATCTGCATTGTACAATAAGACATAATTTGTATTTACAAAAAGTAATGCTTGAGTAAGAATTGATCCATGGTATTCCTGTTACGTCTAGAGCATAGTGTACAAAGGAAGAGATCATACTATTCTTTTAGGAAGAAGAGATCATATTATCTATCAGACAAGACAATGCAACTGTAATTTTAAGTGCAAAACCTACCAATACAGCGACGTTATACTGTTGTTATGTGCAAATTACATGGAGCTTTTAAGCAAAAAAAAGAGATAGTCACAAATAGTCAGATAGCTGTTATGTGCACACAAGTAGACGCACTATATGTACCATTGCCTCCAAGAATTGGGCTGATAAGCGATGAAATTGAATCAACAATAAGTAGCCGCAGCTGCGAACCTTTCTGCATTCAAAAAGGCTCTCCAATTTCTAGTAGAATGTAACCAAGAAATCTAACAACACAAAAAATAAAGGATAAAAGGATGACGGAAAGGTCAATGTTCATTCACCTGAGATCTCAAATTAAACTCTAGACAATGGAGCACATTCAACAACGTATAGATGTCAAACACAGCGTGATACACTATACTGTTCATTACTCGCTGAATAACTTTGTTCACCTACAAGAAAGATGAAAGAGGAGAACATTAGAGAAGAACGAGAGGCTTTAATAAAGGAAGCGGACAGACATGCACTAGAAATCTCAAGGCCTCAAGGTATAAGACAATCTCACACACCAGTAACAAGAAAAGTTGCATTTACAAGCCTAAATTTCCACACATTCCCACACATATTAGCCTATTTTTCTTTCTAGGAGGTGCATATATCAAGTTCACAGGCAAGTCAAGAAAGAGTGACTGCTATAGCAGCTATACATGAAGTTACGACACTTTTCCAGACCCAACTGCAGGCAACTGGCCCAATAGTTGGATTAAAAATTGTAAAGTGGAAGGCAAACACAAGCCGCCCCACACAGGAAGTCTACTCTATGCTTCTGGAATATGTTTTTCTGGATTGGGTTGTGGATGAACTAAAAAAGAAACAAATAACAGCCTAGCACGTTGATGCTTACTTCTTTATTGTCAGGATCTGAAATCTGGCCGACAATCTGTGCAATGCGTTTAGGGGAAATGGAGTTGCATGTGTCTAAGAACAGAGCACTATCCAAATAATTCTTCGCAACGCTGGAGGCAGCTCGTAGGCAAACCTGAGTCATACAAGTATTTTGTATAAAAACACAATAGTGGCAATCAAAAGTAAGGTGAAGATTACTGTAATAATTTTATGCCCCAAAGATCACATGAATTCTTATAGAAGCATCTGGAACCTTGGATTATTAGCACAAAATTATCATCTGGAGTAAAATCTTGTGTTTTACCAGAGGATGATGGTCCAACTAATTCTGTAAGATGTCCTTCAGGGAGTCCACCTTGAAGAAACATATCAATCCTACTTAAATGCAATCAGCGATCTAGGTATTTTCATTGACTTATCATAGCCAAAGCAAATTGTGTATATTCAGGCTCAAGCAACCTTTCACACCCCATCGATAGTATACATTTATTCTGTTGAGCATCTTCCAGCAACTCCATACCATCTAGCCATGGTTGATGCAGGCCATCTATGATAGACAGGACCTGGGTAATTCCCTACTTGCCCACAAAAGAGAGAGACATATAGAGTACTCTCATATTTTGAAAATTCATGCTGTACTATAATACTAGGAAAATTTACATAGGTGTGTAGATTTTCCCAAACACCTAACCTGCTTCAATCTCTCCGAGGTAGAGTGGTAAGATATGGGCCAAGTTATGATTTATCGGTAATTAATTTGTTCATTCATATTATATATATATATATATATATATTATTTTTTTTGTAGCCTTAGACATATAGAGGAACTAATATTGCAGTTTTGCATAAGTAGGCAGCACTATTCTAACTTGGCAACTAATCTTGATATCTCAATATAATATTTTCAATACTCACTTGGAAGCAATATTCAACATTAGTCTAACTTTTTAAATACACAGTTGAAACATTTTCATCATTAGTGCTTGATTGGTTGTTAAATTTAATAGAGTTATATGTTTTCATGGGTTTTATGCTTTTGTTGATACTGTGACCGTAAAATTAGGTTTATACATGGTATTGAGGTTGCATTTTGCATTTTGAATTATTACATTTAAGAATTTTCAATTGATTGCTATTTTTTTAATTACCACGTACACAAAGACTGACAGACACAAACTCTCATACACATTGACTCGAAACATTTTTATCATTGGTGCTGGATTGGTGGTTAAATTTGATTGATATTAAGTTGATTTAATGGATTTTTAGGCTTTTATTTTTAAATATTTGTAAATATTTATTATTTTGTTGATACAGTGACTGTAAACTTAGGTTTATATATGGTATTGAAGGCTTAGAAACAACCAATAAAAATTAAGAGGGCATGTTGACATTATGTTCCCATATACTAAGGCAATAATGAGATGTATTATATAGCTACCAAAATTAAATCTTGATCCCTTCTATAAAACTACTACATATTCCTCATGGATCATCCCACGCACATAGACATCCTCATTAGTTTCTCATAGGAAAAGAGATGGCAAAACTAAGTGTAATGTCTTTATTCCTCATTGTGGTGCTTCTATGCACAAGTTTGTTCTTTTTCATTGATTTTTTAATAATGATTGTGGGTCTAAATTAATTTAAGCTAGGGTAACTTAAAAAAAAGGATAAATACACTGTTACTTGAAAATATTTGTATGCTATTGAAAATATTTATATTACGTGATTGATTTTCGATTTTGTGTTGTACAATATTTTTAGGGATGGATTTTGTCCACTTTTTAGAAAAAAATATGGTTTCATGATTTCATATAGTGACTTAATTCTTTGGGATGTTCGATTTTTATATTGTACTGTACATTGGTTGTTACTATTGTGTATACACACAGGAAATTTCTAGATTCCTATTATGAGAGAAAAATAGTCATTTTTTAACAAAAAAAATGGTACTCTTAACAAAAAATTGTAATGTGAACCAAAAAAGTGGTACTCTTACATAACAAATACACACATAGCCACCGCCACAGATTTTTTTGGCATCTTGCATGTTATAATATCATGATAAAGTGTTTTCTCATACAATAATTATTCAATGACTTTCTTTTCTTTTGAAATACGAGATATTTCATGGCTTGGTGTTGATCGAATTTTAACTCTTGGATAGATCTTTATTGTCATCTTGGATTGATTTGATATTTAACGAAGATGATTGTTCTTCTATTGTTGATATTATTATGTTGGTATGGTAGTTGATGAATAGTTTTGTTATGATAGAATCGGGGTGTGATAGTGATTTGATAAATGGTTTGGGTTAGAACTTCTTAAATTTATGTGTTTCTTAATTATAAGCAGGTTTGTTTGTAGTAGAACACCTTCAGAGTGTACAAATATATGCAATATGAGATTTTGAAAGGCATTGTACATTTCACCATTTGTTTTGCTTAAATCATTATATATTATATGAGAACCTAACTTTAATAATCAAACCCAACAAAATTGTATGCAAACATGAGGAATGCCATGCAGGGTTTATAATTTATTTATTAAATAATTATCATTTTATAAAGGGTGGATTGTGTAATTAGTGTTTTATAGATTGTTTGTACAAGTTGATGTATTTTTTTGGGTCCTGTTGTTATGAGAAATTTTGTCTAAACTTTTTAAAAGAATAAAGAATAATTATTTTGATTAGATATAGATGATTTTTAATTTAGCATAACATGAACATTTTTTTAATGACACATGGTTACAAATTCCTGTAAGCTAACTTTTGAATAAATATTTATGGGTGCTATTGTTAGTTGTAATTAAATAAGTAGTTTCAAGGATATGAAATTTATGCATTTTAAATTTAAATTTATGGGCTTTGATTATTAAAGTTAGGTTTCTCCATCTCTTTATTGAAATTTGTTTCCATGAGAATTTTCATATAGGTAATGTTTTGTTGAGTATGCATGCAAAGTACGAGTGTGTTAAGGATATAGTTTAAGCTTTTAGCTTAGTTCATCCCCATGTTCAATCTTTAATTTTTTTGTATTTATGATCAATGTTTGATTTCTTTGAATTATAAAGTGCCTTCAGGCACGTGTTATCGCTAGTTAGGTTTATATATGGTATTGAAGGCATAGAAATAATCAATACAAATTAAGAAGGCATATTGATATTTGTACGCTATTGAAAATATTTGTATTGTATGATTAGTGCTCGATTTTGTGTTGTACAATATTTTCAGAGATGGATTTTGTCCACAATTTTAAAAAAAATTGTTGTCACGATTTCATATACTGACTTAATTCTTCGGGATGTTCGATTGTTATATTGTACGTGCCTGAACACACGGGTTATTACAATCGTGTATACAAGTACGAAATTTCTAGATTCCTATTTTGAGAGAAAACTATCCATTTTTTTTAACCGTTACAAGTGGTACTCTTAAACAAACAAGTTGTTGATGTTAACCAAACAAAGTGGTACTCTTAACCAAACAAGTTGTAATCTTAACCAAACAAGTTGTAATCTTAAACAAAAAAGTGGTACTTTTACTAAAAAATGGTAATGTTAACAAAAAAAGTGGTACTTTTAACAAAAAAATAGTAATGTACACATGATTTCACTTCAAGGTCGCTCTTTTTGGTATGTGTGTAGATTTTGAATATGGTAAATTTTTGTTATGATTTGTCGGTAATTAATTTGTTCATTCATATTATTATTTTTTTGTTCACCAGCTACATTTGCCATGTTTAGTAAATGTTTATGCGTTTGATGAAAACTAACGCATAAACCCACAAAATTTGGCAAGTCATCAAGTTAGTACACAATCAGTTAAACTATTAAAATGTAAGTATCGCTGCATCATATTTTTTTTAAAAATTCATTTATATTTTATTGTTTTAACATTTGTAAGTGCATGTTACATGACAAAGAAGAGGGCAGGAAAAGCTCAAGAAAAGCCAGAGCTTATAAAGCGTCAAAAAACTGAAAAGGTTACTGCCAAGCTTAAACTTTCAACTATTTCAATATTTTTTTTTTCACTAACTTAAACTTGTAAAACATTTTTTAAGATGTTCTTCGAACCTGATGCTCGCCTTCAATATTGGCTAAAACAATTGAAGCACTTGGTGATAGTCAAAAGGAGGTGTTAAGGAAATGAGATTGAGGGGTTTATTAAGTCTGAAAATCCATTGGTTCAAAAGGGATTTATGTGAATGGATATTGAGCAGATTTGACCCCTGATACATGTAGTCTAAACGTGTACAACTAATCTTACATTTTTACTCCAGTGGATGTCGAATGGATCTTGGGGTTACATTATGGAGGGGCTGAATTACAGACGACTGGCTCCCCAGAATTAATTGAGAATCTTAAAAAATTAATTTTTGATGGTAATAATGAGTTGTTGTTGCATGACATAGGATGTATGGTAGATACATTAAAAGAAGATTCTAACGAATTTCAGCATTTGTTTGTTCTATTTGTTGTGGGGAGATTTATGTGCCCCAATATAAAAGGCACAGTCAATGTCTCCCTCCTACACATGCTTTTGGATGTCTCATCTTTAGGGGGTTGGGAATTGGCAAAATTTGTGTTTGACTCCATCATTGTGGGGGTACAAAGTTGAAATAACAAGTTTATGTTAATGGTTGCATTTTTGTTCTCATGGTAACACATTTATATTTGATTAATGTTGGTTACCAAAGTCTTTTATGCACTTTTATTTGTATTAATCGTATGTTGTGTGTCATAGATTTTCTACCTTGAGTGTGCGACACCAATAGGGGAGACTGTGGTCCCATTGGTGTCTCGACCAACCCCACGCATTGGATCATGGGGAGATGAAGATATAAGAAATCGCCTACTTTTACTGAAGAAGTTAGGATGTTTCAAAAATGACAAGGTAAATCAGTGTTATTGCCGCACAACAATATAATTTTTTCTAAGTTTATTCATGAAATGAAATTATATGTTACTTATCACATACGATGTTTGACATGCTTGAATTAGATTAAAGTCGCATTTGCTGAGTTGCGCTCTGATCCACCAGAAGTCAATGAAGCCATCAGAGGTCCAACGCACTTTCAACAACAAGTAGGTGTATTATTCAACAACTACTCCTTACAACTGTATTTACAATGGTGTTTTTTTAGTTAAACAAACATTTTTCATTTGCTTAGAAAATTGAAGCAAGGCTTACGAGATTAAAGGTGGATCAGGCCTCCATTAAGCAAGTTGCACGGGAGGAATTGGAGAAAGTGTATAAGGAGCTTAATGCAATGAAAAATTTTATACAAGAGCTTTCCGACTGATTGGAAAAATTTTGCGACAAGTCGAAAGAAAAGTCCACTTAGTTGACAGTGGAGAGGCGAGTGTACCGGGAGTTTCCTCCATCTACTGTTTCAGGAATTATCTATTGTTTTATACACTTTTAATTTTAATCTTGAAATTTTGTACGCATAACATTGGCAAGACG